AAGGCTCTCCGAGGGACGCTGTCCAAACAGAAATGCACTTTTTATCTGACGTGTGTAACTGTAACCCCTCCATACATCATCTTTATAATACAATAAAAAATGAAAATAAAAAAGAGGTTATCTCAGTATCACAGCAACATGCTTCAGGAACTTTCGATATGACTCCCAGGTTGTTTGGGGGGGGGGGGGGTGGAGAGGGAGGGAAAGGATCATCTGAAAGCCTCCTGAACTCCTGAAGCTCCAGACAGACAGCCTGCCTTTCCCCTGTTGGTGACATCTGTTCTGGAATCTTCCTGGGGTCAGTGTGAGATTCTCCTGTCTCCTCAGCTAACCACTAGCTCCTCGGTGGGGGGGGGGGGCGCTCCCTCCCCCCCCCCAGCCCCTGAGGATGACAAACCCCTTCCTGTCTGCCCCCAGGTGGGCTGGGACTCCCGGGTGGGTCGTGGTGTCTCCTCCCCAGGCCAATCTGGAGCCACTGCCCAACCCTTCTCCCTCCCTCCACTAGGCCCACATCTGATACTGCAGTCTTAAGCAAGAGATTCAGCCTTCACCTTGGTTTCCTCATTGGAGATGATTCTGGGGCACACACCCTTTAGGCAGATTCCTAGGATGTTCAGAGCCCCACAGAGGGCCAGCTCAGAAAGGAACTGCTGGCCATCACTTTCCATTGGAAAAGCCCCTAGGGGTCAGCAACTGCCAGCACCTGGTACAAGGCAGTGCCAGCGGTGACCATCTGACAGTCAAGGTCATAGAGGAGGGTGAGGGACCCTGGAAAGGTACAAAAATCCCTCCAATCCTTGATCTGAATATTAAAGAAGAGGTGAGGATGCCCCTAGATACAGAGATCAAAGGAATCCACACACCTATTCTGGGTGGACCACATCAGCATCCACGAGATGATTCTGATTCTATTTGTACCCCCTTTTTTTGTGAAGGAGGAGTTTATTGGGAGAGTAGTGAACTCCAAGGACAAGAACCTAGGAGTCAGGACGCTGTTCATCCAAGGGCCTATGGAGCTAGGAGAACTTAATGGCTCCCCAAGTTTGAGGACTCCTTAGGGGATAGCAAGGAAAACCAGTGTTAATGACATCAGCCACATACCATACATGTAAAGATCAGGTGAAAGTTGTCTCAAAAAGCTGCCGGCTAGTAAGAGAAAAACACTAGCAGTTTGTTTGCAGAAAGGCAGGTGTGAGAGACTCAGAAATCAGATCCCTGCCCTTTCTAGACATCTTTATTTCTAGGGTGAACCTCAAAGGGATTTGAAAGTGTAGGATATGGGAGCCCTTGTAACTCTAGGGATGCAAACACAAAGCCATGGTACCTTAGCCATCAGCCTAGGTACTCATGTCCCTGGAACCCTGGATGACAGAGTACAGTGGGGGCAGCCAGTAATCCAGTAGCTACATTTGTGGCCTAGGAGTGGAATAGGTAAGTGAGAATAGACATGTAGGTCACCAGAATTGCCACCTCATTCTTCCTGCCAAGGAGGGACATCTTCTCCCTCACAGTACCCCTTCCCCCACCCCCCTGAGGAGCTTTCCAATCAGTGGATACTCAGCAGCCAAGCAGAGGCAAACACTGAGCAGGAGAAGCTCTGGACTCCTGACCATGGCCAGACTTGTCCACTCCAGTTTCATTTATTTTTGGTTTGGTTTGGTTTGGTTTCTTTGTGCCAGTCCTGGGTTGAACTCGTGGCCCAGGTGCTATCCTTGAGCTTCTTGGCCCAAGACTAGGACTCTACAGTACTTGAGTAACAGTTCCACTTCTGGCTTTTTTTTTTTAAAGCTAATTGGAGATAAGAGATAAATCTCTTGACCTTTCCTGCCTAGGATAGTTTCAAATCGCATCCGCAGATCTCAGGCTCCTGAGTGGCTAGGATTATAGCTTGAGCCACCAGTGCCTAACTCCACTCCAGTTTTAGATCTTTTGGGAAGTCCTGGATGTTCAAGGAAGACTTTACACTAATTATCCCAGCGATTTTCACAAAAGCAGAGGAGAAGGCATCTAGATGTCAAGGAGGGTGAAGAGCATCTAACTCAATGCTTTTCTTCCTTCAGCCTCAATGTTCATGTATAAAATGGATATGATGGTTTGGTCCATGATAATTTGGTTGCTATGGGGGAGGGAGGGACTGCTAGGTCTAAACTTGGAAAGTCTGGGTGATGGAGTTGGAACACACAAGACCAGGGCAGAGATCCCCTAACTCTTCTTATTCACTCACCCTTTCTCTAGATCCCTGTGGAGTAAAAGACGACAGAGATTAAGAGTAAAACCCAGGCTGCCCTGAAACAGAGGAGGAAGCTGGCTGCACACCACTTTTCTCCCAAATTCCATCAAAATTCCATCTTCACTCCTTGTAGATCTCTATGGAAAGGGATACTCCTAGGCTCTAACTGTGGACAAAAGTCTCCTTCTCCTCCTCCTCCTTTTTTTTCTCGTTCTTCCTCCTCCTTCTCTTTTTCCTTCCCTCCATCCCTCATCTCCAGCTGCCTCTCCTACAAGCACACATTTACTTCCTAGATAAAAGGAGACCATATCTCACACATGTCATTTTCTAAATCTCTGCTAACCTGGACTTCAGGCTGTGTGTAGGGTTTTATTTCAAGACATAAAACACATCAAACTTGCCAGGCGCTGGTGGCTCACGCCTGTAATCCTAGCTACTCAGGAGGCTGAGATCTGAGGATCACGGTTCAAAGCCAGCCCGGGCAGGAGAGACCGTGAGACTCCTATCTCCAATAAACCACCAGAAAACCGGAAGTGGCGCTGTAGCTCAAGTGGTAGAGCGCTTGCCTTGAGCTGAAGAGCTGAGGGACAGCGCCCAGGCCCAGAGTTCAAGTCCCACGACCAACAAAAAAAAAAACAAAACACATCAAACTTGCCACCCTGAGGAAGTATGGTGGACATGCTTGGGATGAGAACTAAGAGCAGAGAAAAGGCAAGGCTATGGGCAGTTACACTTACTTTTTTTCCAAGAGAAATTTTTCCCTGATTATGTCAAAACAGCTACCACAGTGGTGACAGAGAGCTGCAGTTTGAGGCAAGACACCAAAGGGCACTCTAGATTAAATATGAAGAGGTTAACTGGGCCCACAAAGCAGGAGTCTGGTGGTGGTGAGCCCCATAGGGGAAGCATTTCTCACAAGCTCCTCTACCCCATCTCTCAAGCTTTCCTTAGCCAAAAAGATGGCTGGGCACTAAACCCAGGCAGACTTGAAGGTGCATTAGGAGCCTCATTATTCCCCAGTGTGAACACTGGAGTTTTAATTACACACTTGAATTTTCTGGGGAAGAAGACCAAAGATCTTTTTTTTTTCAAAGTAGCAACTTGTTTTCCATTAGGCATTTGTTGTAACAAGTTCTTTCAGGAACATGTTATGACTTTAGGAAGGGATACTTCAGATGGTGGGCACTAACACAATTTTGTGGCTTTTAATTACTATTTTGTTCTTTTAGGGGGTTTCAGAGACTGGCGCCTGGGCATGATTAGACCGTCTGCCCGGCTCCGCAACTTTGCACACCATCCACCAGGTGGCACCACAAAGCTGGCGGTGCCGCAGTATCTTTTGACTTAGAAGTCCAGCAAGGCTAGTGTCCATCACTGTAGGACAAGGGTCTCAATCACCAAAATGTAAAAAGAAAGTCGTCACAGAAATAGCAAAGACAGAGTGGATCAGAGACCTAAAGTACTAAATGTAAATAAGAACTAAGTGCACAAAATGAAACTGCCTATTTATTGTTTTTGCCAAGAAGACATGGAGAGATAAATCTATAATTTCACCTATTATTTCATTTCCTTTTCTGTAAAAACGTCGAATTTAAGTAGTGTTAGAATGAACTCTGGAAGCTATTTGCTCTGCCTGGTCTTCCTTTCCACTCCCAGGAAGCTCCAGGATCACTTTTCTAGTGTCAATTGCCCATCAAATGTACATAATTACTCGGGGCCTTGGTGTGTCAAGGCAAGTACAAGGAAAAGTGATTTCAAATATATTATTAGTAATAATGCCTTTAGATTTATATAGCTTTTCTCTCAAGTAGCAAGGAAAAACGTTTAAATATTATCCAATTAATTGTCCTAATATCCCTGTGGGTTGGTTAGGAAGCAGGTATTATTATACATGGTTTACGGATAATTTGAATCAATTGACTGTCAAGTGCCAGACACTTCGAGGAAACGTGGAGATAAAGCTGGTTCCGCTCGCGGGACCGCTTTATTTGATTTATGTGTTCGAAAAGTGACATGGGACATCAAGGCACAAATCACTGGAGTTGGCGCTTGCACACAGAACAGGACAGAAGACCCCACTTCTGCCTCTGGGTGGAAACAGCTACCTTTCCTCTGCCTTCACACCTGCTGTACTGCTGAGTGCCTGACAGCACTGTCTCCCCAAACCAGTCTCTTGCCTCTGGCTCTCTTTCCTCGATGGCCCGTGTACACCCGCCGCTGCCGCCGCCGCCGCAGCCCCACGGCCCGCCAAGTGACACCCGCCCCCCCCCCCCCCCCGGCCCTGCGGTCCCGGCCGCCAGGAGCCCCGCGGCCCACTGCTTCTGATTGGCTGTTGCTAGGTGACGTCGCCGGCGCTCACGTGACAAGTGTTAAATGCCCACCCTGCAGGAGCCGGCCTGGCAGACAATCGTAAAGCCGCTTAGGGCTGCTCACCTGCTCCCGCCTCCTGGAGCCCCGACCCGGCCCTGTCACCCCTGCCCCCTCCACTGCCCGCCCCCAGCCTGAGCCCGCGCTGGGCGAGGAGCCGAGAAGGCCGAGAGGCCTGGAGAGGAGGATGCGGCCGGCGGCAGCTGTCCCGAGAGGCGCGTGGTGATCACCTCCCCTGGAGGAGGAGGCGCCAAGACCGTAGCCTCGTTTCTTGTTTTCCTTCCCCCCAACCCCACCTCCTCGTAATTACATTGGCTGCTGGAAGGGAGCAAGAGAGACTGAGGAGGCGCCTCGCGTCCCCCTCGCGCCCGCCACCCGTGCTCTTTCCCTGTCCCGGGCCAGGATGACTGGAGTCTTTGACAGTCTGGTGGCTGATATGCACTCGACCCAGATCACGGCCTCCAGCACGTACCACCAGCACCAGCAGCCCCCGAGCGGTGGCGGCGCCGGCCCGGGCGGCAGCAGCGGCGGCGGCGGCGGCGGCAGCAGCCTTCACAAGCCCCAGGAGTCGCCGACCCTGCCGGTGTCCACAGCTACCGACAGCAGCTACTACACCAACCAGCAGCACCCGGCGGGAGGCGGCGGCGGGGGCTCGCCCTACGCGCACATGGGTTCCTACCAGTACCACACCAGCGGCCTCAACAACGTCCCGTACTCCGCCAAGAGCAGCTACGACCTGGGCTACACCGCCGCCTACACCTCCTACGCTCCCTACGGGACCAGTTCATCCCCCGCCAACAACGAGCCGGGTGTGTATAAATGCTGGCATCAAGTCGGTCAGTCACTGGGATGGATGGGGTTAACAGGAATGGGGTGAAAGGGGGTGCGGTCCGGAGCCCTTGTCTGGCTCCCCAATTTCCGATCTCCCTCGAGTCGCGTTTTTGTTCTTCTGTGATCAACCTGGTAACCCCGGTGCGTGCTCCCCGGAAACTGGTTTTTTTTTGGGGGGGGGTTCTCCCTGCTTCTCCTCTCTCTTCGGCCTGTGCCTGTCCCCACTTCCCCGAGGGCGGTCGCGACCGTCTGTGCGTGCTGAAGTTGCGCCCGTGAGGCGGGCGATGTCTGCGAGAAACCCGCCTCCCTCCCGGCTCCGGCCAAGTTCCTCCACCCACCCCTGGTCTCGGCGGGAACTCCAGGGCCCGGGCGTTGGGCCACTCACAGTTCCGTTTCATTGCAGAGAAGGAAGACCTCGAGCCCGAAATCCGAATCGTGAACGGGAAGCCAAAGAAAGTCCGAAAACCCCGCACCATCTACTCCAGTTTCCAGCTGGCCGCTCTGCAGCGGCGTTTCCAAAAGACTCAGTACCTGGCCCTGCCCGAGCGGGCCGAGCTGGCGGCGTCTCTCGGCCTCACCCAGACTCAGGTGCGGCTCGCTCCCCGAGGGGCCGACGGCCGGGCTAGCTAGTCTGGGTTACTCGGGAAGTAGACGCGTTCGAGACAGGTTCTTATAGATAGCTTTTTAAGCCGAGCGCCGGTGGCTCACGCCTGTAATCTCGGGAGGCTGAGATCCAAGGATTGCGGTTTGAAACCAGCTGGGGCAGAAACATTCGAAAGACTTTTATCTCTAATTAACCTCTCTCTCTCTCTCTCTCTTTCTCTCTCTCTCTCTCTCTCTCACACACACACACACACACACGCAAGCGCGTGCAAAAAGCCGAAAGTGGAGCTGTGGCTCAAGCGGTAGAGCGCTAGCCTTGAGCAAAAGGAAGCTCAGGCCCTGAGTTCAAGCCCCAGGACTGGCACAAAATTATTTATGTATATTTTTAACGCAGTTTAATGGCTTCCTAAGCCCGCATCTATGCAGCCTAAACTTCTCTAGGCCCAAAGTTGAAAATCCCCAAGCGGCCACCGCGTGGGAGGGAAGGAAAAGGGTAGGGAGGTGGGCAGAAATCCGGTATCATGTGGTCCCTGAACTCGGTGGAGATAAAGCAGGTGAAATACTGGGCTTCCGGGCCGGCTCCGGCTGTGACCAAAGCTCGGTAGCACACGCAGTCGCAAACAGAGCACCCACAGCAGCTGTTTGGAGACGATCCCCTCCGAAGGGAGCTGGGAAGCAGCGGAGCCTCCGCGCGCGATCCGCTCGCGCGCCCCCGGGCGCCGCACGTCCACCTCCGGCCGGCGGCCTTTCCTCTGCTCTCGCCCTCCCGACTCCAGTAACAAGTTCCTCCACTAACGCTCGGGTCCTTTTTCCACAAAGGTCAAAATCTGGTTCCAGAATCGTCGGTCCAAGTTCAAGAAGATGTGGAAAAGCGGCGAGATCCCCTCGGAGCAGCACCCTGGGGCCAGCGCTTCGCCACCCTGTGCCTCCCCGCCGGTCTCGGCGCCGGCCTCCTGGGACTTCGGCGCGCCGCCGCGGATGGGGGGCGGCGGCGGCCCGGGCAGCGGAGGCAGCGGCGCCGGGAGCTCCGGCTCCAGCCCCAGCAGCGCGGCCTCGGCTTTTCTGGGCAACTACCCGTGGTATCACCAGGCTTCGGGCTCCACCCCACACCTGCAGGCGACGGCGCCACTGCTGCACCCCACGCAGACCCCGCAGCCGCACCATCACCACCACCACCATCACGGCGGCGGGGGCGCCCCGGTGAGCGCGGGGACGATTTTCTAACCTTTCCCGGGCGACCGCGCCAGAGACTCAGACAGAGACCGGTGATCCTCGATGTTCGCACCCGCCGCCCGCCCCAGGGTCTGTCCTCGCGGCCGGCAGCCGCCGCCGCCCGGCCCTCCCGGAGGTTGCAGCCTGCAGAGGTGGCCGGCCCCAGGCCCCGCGGCCGCACGCACCGCCACCCAGCAGCCCGGAACTGGGGAAAGGGAGTCTCTTCGCCCCGGGTTCGTCCTGGGGCAGCTGGACAGCTGCACGGTGAAGGCCGTCCCCACCCCCACCCCCCCGAGCCGCATTCGGATCTGAGCCCCGAGCCTCGGCCATTTTGAGCCCGCCTCGGCCTTGCCTCCCCTCCTCTCTCCGCCTGCCCAGGCCGTCCGGCGCCGTCTTCGCCCGGGGGCTCCGCGCCGGGTCTCGGAGAAGGACGCCTGCCCCGCCCGCGAGGCTTCCCCAGCCCTCTGAGGCTCCTTTCTCCTCGCCCGCCTCGGGGCTCAGCCCCGGCCCGCTTTGGTTATTGACCTCCCGGGGTCCTGCTCGCCCGACCCCCCCCTCCCGCCCCGTGACCCCGGCGACCCCGCCGCTTTCTTTCTGCCCGGCGGTTCCCAGCCTTCGGAGCCCTCGTCGCTCGCGGGCCTCGCTACCCGCCCCCCAAACGCCCCTTAGCTTGAGCTCTCTCGCGCTCTCTCTCTCATCCATCACCAGTGGAGTTTCTTTTATTTTTATTTTTTTAAAAGTTTAGGTGCCTTTGCGGATGACCTCATTTTGATGTTGGAAAAAAAATGATTTTTTAATATGTGGACACTGCAAAAATGCGTTTAAATTATCTTTTTTAAAATTTATTCAGGATTATTAGCCTGGGCTTTGACACAGAGTTTGTAAATAAAGTTGTCTGTGCAGATTTTCCCACTGATTTATTTGTATAAACTCATCTTTTCAGACTTTTTTGTAACCCCCTAGTTGTGAACACTGCGGTTTCGCAGTGACCTCGGCAAACCCCTTCGTTTTATTTTTTTTCTTAAAAAAAAAAAACCTCAGTTAAATGAAGCTACTGATTTGAATTTGTTTTATCTTCCCCTAAAGCCTTTCAAGTTCTTGAAATGCAAGGCACTTTGGGGCTATTTATTATGAAAGCAACATGCTCTTAATGTTGATTTTACACTATGAAGAGATTATTTAAATAAATTATTGTTTTCATTGGAGTGTGTACTTTTTCCTTGGTGCCAGGGTTCCATCCGTCGGTCAGGCGCTCGGAGCTCGATCGAGCCGCTGCACTAGCTGAGATCTGCACCTTACCCCAGCCGCAAGCATCTTAAGGTGCGCCGGGGTCGAGAACCGACGCGCTCCGCTCAAAGCGGCGGCGAAGGCTCAGCTCCGCCCCCGCCTGAAGTTCTCCAGCCCGCCGCTCGGTGACTCATTCTGCGCCGGGCGGCTCCAGCCTCCTCCGGTCAGGCCCCCTCTGGCGCCGGCGCCACCGTCCCCCTCCTAGGCGGCCTCGGCCGCCCCCGCGTCCGCCGTGCTGGCCAAGCTGTGCCTTCCAGCCGCCGCCCGGGATCTAGTGTCAGGAGCCTGTGCTCCGCCGCATTCTGGGATAAGAACCCCCCTCACCCCCTGCGTTGGTCCTTCCCCAGAGCTTGTCCTTTGGAAGCTGGCTGAGCCAAGAACTCTGGGTTCCCCCTCGGGAGGCACGGTTGACTGCTCGGGGATGCCGGGCAACCCTGTGCACTGCGTTCCAGGAGCGCACACACACACAACCACACACTGACATACACCCTCAGGATCATAACTCATGCGCGAGAACAGTGCCGCATGCAGGAGCGCACACCATGACACGCTTCCACTCACTAAGTCACAATCACACTCTTACACATAAGGGACAAATTCATGCATACTCACACAACCACATACAGGCCCATATATTGACTCACAGAGATACACATGCAGCCACACATATACACGTGCAGAGACTGAGGCACTACGTCTTGGGAATGGCATTCTTGTACCTCATACCCTTGGAAGGGAAAGACGCACACACCTTTCAGCTCTGCTTTCCACCATGGCCTCTACACACCTGATTTCCAGCTTTGGAAGTAACCCTGTTTTCTGGCAGTCCCTGTGAAAATCAGGGTAGGTGTGTGAGTTTGAGCTAAAAGTACCTTTCCCTAAAAGCACTGGATCCACTGGTTGGAAGCTTCCTGGCTTCAATCACTTGGCTATGTGACCTTGGGAAACCCTCTTACCTTCTCTCTGTTACAGTTTGCAGATGTATAAAATAGGAGAAATAATAACAATTGTTGCTCAGAGTTGTGAGCACCAACTTAATGAACCCTTAATGAGGCAATGATGCCACACAGTGAGTGCCTGGCTCATAATAAAAACTAGATAAATTAGCTGCTTCCTATTTACCTTCCCTGTACTATCCCAATGGACCAAATCACTTTGCTTTCTGATGGATTATGAAGTCCAGAGTTACCAGAGGCTTCTCCAACTTCACCTTGAGTGGAAGATCAACATCCTGGAGCCGGGAGAGCTTAGGAGCTTTCTTCCAATGGAATGGCCTCGGTTTGAGATGACATTGGGCACAAGTTAGGGATCCCTTTGCTGGATTCAGGCCTCTTCTACTAATTATTTAGGACATGTATGTCGTTTGTCTTAAACTCATCCCTGCCAGAATAGAGATAAGGCAAGACAAGTTACTTTGTGGGTTGAGTAACATCCTCCCGAGAGGAATCCTGACTTTTCCGGCCAAATTGTTTTGGGGCTTGCTGATTCAAGTCAGATTGACAACTGTATGGGTCAGGGAATTGGGGTGTCTGATTAAAACTAGGCAACTGCACAATCCAGGATCTCTTTATATTTATTTTTTTCTTTTCTTTTTTCCTGTTGTAGATCATGGGTCTTGAACTCAGGGCCTGGCCACTGTCCCTAAGCACTTTCACTCAAGGCTAGTGCTCTACTAGTTGAGCCATAGCGCCACTATCAGCTTTTTTGTTTGTTTGTTTTTAGTTTAGTGGATATAGGAGCCTCACGGACCTTCCTGCTCTGGCTGGTTTCGAACCGCGATCCTCAGATCTCAGCCTCCTGAGTGGCTAGGATTACAGGCTTGAGCCACCGGCGCCAGACTTCTTTGCATTTCTGTAGTTTTCCCATCCAAGGCTGAATGAAACCCGTGGACCTGCGATTCTAGACTTCCCTAAGCAACCCCTGCCCATCAGACACGCATCCCAGTGTCCCATCTCTCCCAGTTCCAAATTCCGTGGGGGTATTTTGAGTTCCAAGCCTGGTGCCAGCCCCCTCCCTGAGATTGACTGTACCCTCCCCTCTTTTGCCCGCCCTCTCTCCCCCCCCCCCTCCCGAAACCAGCGGGGAGAAACGGGGCAGTAAATTGGCTGGTGTCGAGGATCTGCAGCAGACAAGATGATTAAGAGGCCTACGCCGGAGCGCCCGGGGCAGAGAATGTCAGCCCAAGTTGGAATCACGCAACAGGCCTTGGCATGAGCCGAGCCTGGGAGCCGGGAGGGCGGGCGGCCCCTCTCCGGGGTGGGCTGAGGCCCCACAGACTCGCCGGAGTCGCCGAACCTGGCACTTGGCGGCGGCGGGGTCGGACCGGGCCACGACGTGCCTCCCCCCCGTCCCCCCCCGACCGCGGGAACCCGCAAAACAGAGGGCGGGAGTGTGCTGGGGCCCGGAGCGAGGGGCGTTTCCGCAGACCGGGAGCCGGGCGCAGGGAAGGGATCGCCAGGACGCGCCCACGTCCCAGAAGCAGGGGGAGGGCACGCGGAGGGGTGGGCTGGGGCGGGGGGACAAAGCCCGGCTCCCGGAGGCGGGGGCCGGCTCCAGCCCCGCCGGGGGCGACTCTGGCAAGCCTTTCTCACAGTCTCCCGGGCCGCCCGGAGACGCGGAGCCCTGTGATCAGCCCGCCGCCGCGCAGACACGCTCTCCCCACCCCCACCCCACCCCCACCCCCCGGGTTAAACTGAGCTCCCGAAAGCACGGATGAAAAATGGAAATGGGAAGCAGCGATCCCGACTCCCCTGCACTGGGAAAACAGCCGCGTTCCGAGCACACATAAATCTTCATTGTAATCCCCTTCCATTTGCGCCAGTAAAATATCAGGCCAGAGACAAGATATGACAAGCTCTGGAAGAGAAGAGAAGGGAGGGCGGCCCGCAGAGGGAGGGCTGCCCGGTTCCCTCCGCTCCGCTCCGCGCTGGGCCAAGCCTCGGCACTGGAGTGAAAAGCAGGAGCCGAGTTGGAGCCCGGCGACTCCGCGCTTCCGCCGCCCCCTCCCCTTCCACCTCGGCCTCGCCCTCCCCCGCCCCCCCCCAGCCCCGCCAGGGCTGCGGGGCGCACCTTCCCGCTGATCTCTCCTTGGGGTTGCGCTGGCCCAGAACCCCCTTTCATTGCCTAGATTTTCCGCCGTCCGCCTCACAACTCTGGGCATGCGGAGGGCAGAAGGGAGAAACGAGCAGATCCCGGGCCTGATCAGTCCGGCTGCCCGGCGGGACTGTGTAGGGAGGCTTCCCCTCGGCCTTCCCTCAGGATCTCCCGAGTAAATCGTGAATATCCTCCCAGTGTCAGGAGCTCCGAAACTGGTGGGGCGAGTTTGAGGAAGTGTCGGGTTTAGTGGGGGCGGGGAGAGAGAGACAGAGACAGACAGAGAGACAGAGACAGAAACACGGAGACAGAGAGGCCAGACTGGAGTTTTATTTACAAACAATTCTGGGGGCTTAAGATGCAGGATGGAAGGGGGTGTGTAGGGAAAGAAGCGCCAGAGTGGTCCAGTGGTTCTTTTCTCTGTTGGGAGCCCCCTACTCCCACCCTCCTCCCTGGCCGCCCCAGGAGAACGAGAGCCGGGAGCAAAAGGCTCCCCTGCCTCTCAGGAAGTCCTTGTGGGCAGTGGAAAAGCCCGGGTGCAGCTGCCGCACGGCGGGCACCCCGCTCTGGCTGGTGACATTCCAGCTAGCTCCCTTTCCACCAGGGAACAGCGACCACCAGTGGCCTTCACC